TTATTATGAGTAATTAAGTAAAATCGCGAAATAGCCGATAGACATTTAATAAATGCACTCAAATTCTTCTCATTAATAGCAAGTTTTTTATCTAACGAGAGAAATAAATGATACAATTTATTGCATATTTTTGGGCGCCTTTCTGAAAGTAAGAGATAATGAGTCACTGGCAACAGTTGCCTAAAGGAACCGCCATTTGTTCCACTTAAATGGATATTTTTATATTTGAACTGCAATTCTTAAACGATTATTTGGTTTAATCCAATAAAGTCCGCTCATAATATATATCAACTGAATGTGAATTTCCTAAAAATCGTAGAAATTCAAAGAATATATAAAGAAATTAAGGATATTATTAAGTAAATAAACCACAGATTGAAGTTTAAAATAAGCTAATATATTTTTCTGAAATTTATTCAAAAATATTTTAAGTAAATAATTTTTGATGGAAAAAATTAAAAATAATGTTTTAGGAAGGACTAAATACCTAGTTTAGTAGCCAACACTGAAAGATTGTATTGAGCTATTGCAGCTGTCTTATTTGATATGGCTAAAAAGAACAGACCTTTTCTCTTGACTCTGACTGTGACTGCAAACACAGTGAAATGGACAGGAAAGTATTCAAATAGACAAAATCGCTACCAAAGAGTATCTACTATTTAGATAAAGAACGCAAAGGTGTATATTTGTCTTTCCGAAACTTCTATTAATGGAATTTATATACAGATACCAGTTATGCTGCGCTGCAATGGGACCTTTGATAAATATAAATATGTATGACCGAGGTAGGACAGTAGCATATGGCATAAAAATCGAAAATGACATCTCAAAAACTATTTAGTAATCTTTACAGGTAATTCCGTGAGAGCTAAGAACTCTTGATATTAAACGATATTGCAAAAGCTGTGAAAATGATGAAAAGAGTAAGCCGTAATATAATGTTTCAACTCCTTACTGCCTTGGGTGGTTGAAGTAGACTTCAAAATTTTGAAACTTTTTCACCGGATGCTCTTTAGTAGAAGACAGACGTTAAAAAACTTAAGTTCAGAGAGAGACTTTCTCTTCTTTGTAGTCATAGAAGAGCTCTTCATACAGACGTATTCTTGTCCTTAGCCATTTGTGTTTGCCTATGCGTCTCTCGAAAAGTAACGCTGCTGTATGAAGAGTGCTTTTAATCTTTGGAATAGAGGTACATGGTCCGTTCATTAAGACATGGTCGACCTGATAACGAATTTTATCAGACCGGAGTCTAGTACTGCAGACAATTATATTTCTTGCCATGGGGAAATCGTTCAGTCTCAACTCTTTTGGGCATGTTTCGCAGTGGAGGCTGAGTTTTTCAACAGTTAAGCCAAAGATAATTTTCTCTTTTCTACCAATAAAGTATCCAAGCCGTATTTTATCATTATGGCAAGCACAGCACTCGTAAATACGCTTCAGATAAATATTTTGACACATCTCTTCACACTTCTCATCGCTCATTTTGCTGCCGATTGTGGCTAGAAGTTCATCTACCGGGGTGAATGTGATTAAGTCATTCTCCCACCATGAATTCAAAACAAATTTGCGCTCGTTTATTCGTCCATCCTTGTGGTGATTGCAGCTCAAATTAATATACCGAATATGCCAGATACGTACATCTGATATGATCTTCATCAAAGCGTCGTGGTTCTCATCCAAGGCTGTTGTTTCTTCTTCATTAAAGTTACTTTTTACGTGGAGGGTCTGAAATCTAGAGAAAAAGCTAAGGTTTTGCAAAAAATATATGTTGCGTGGAGCAAACACTTGTTCGCAGCCACACCATCGGTGAGCAGACGCTGGAAAACACTCTAGTGAATCCTCAAACTGGATATGACGCTGTGGCTCCACTGAATTTTCCACCATTTATTCGTTACCCTAGGCTCCACAGTGGTTAGTTTGGGCATCCACTTGCTTATGTTTCTAGGATGCGCGAATTAAGTAAGAATAGGAATTAAGTAAAGTCCCCGATCTGTCACTGCATACCCGGAAACAGGACCTACTCCTTTTACATATAGTAAGACATATAATTAGAAATTCTAGCGAGGACTTTCTGCTTGAATAAATTTACTTAAATTTTTGAAAAAAAAAATATAAAAAAATAAATAAATTCCAAATTATATGCAGGTACAAGCTCCCTAATTTTACTTTTTTTTTATAAATAATTTCTACAAAAGACTCAAGATTTTGCTGAAGAAAATTTTTTGCAAAAAAAAAAAATTTTTTTCTATAAAACTCCCAGCCATCTGTTGCTGCATACCCTTTAACATAACCACCTAACATACAATCCACAACATAGCAGCTGTTAGGTATAACTGTTTAAACGACAGCACAAATCACGATTGCCACCAAATACCGCTACATACACGACTATGGCAAAATCTGCTGAAATATAACAAAACTGTTGTGCCGACGCGATGCGACTTCAGTACGATGACGGCAAGCGAACAAGTGGTAACGCGTAGCGGTAGAGGCGAAACGTTGCTAACGGTACAAAACATGTGTTAACGGTATAAAACAGCATACTTCAGCAGAGTGTGTGTTTGTGAAGTAAGCAAAGTGAGTGAGTTGAGAGTGCGAAGCAATATTAAGCGATGCGATGCACTGAAGGTGTGAAGAGAAAATAAATAAAAATTAATTAAAATTAAAAAAAAAATATAGAAATAAAAAAAAAAGAAAATGTAAAAGAAATCAAGGAAAATATAAAAAAAATAATTTGAAATAAGAATTTTAAACAATAACTGAGCTCAGCGCTTCATTTGTGTAGCCGGAGCTGTAGTGAAAAATGAAAAGGTTTGCCGTCGAGTAAAAGGAGTCCAAAACAGTGCCGCTGCATGTCGTCATGTATGAGTTGAGGCAACTAAAAGTGAGCTTCACCATTTTTCATTACCTTTTTTTTGAATTGGAACGTGTTAGGTAGTTGGAATCCAGCACATCCTTGAGCAACTCGCCTCGCATACGCGCAACGAAGCAACTCAAATGCTTTGAATTATTAAAATGAAATGGCCTTTTAGTTTATTTTGGCTTTGACTGGGGTGAATGTGCATGTGTTTTGCTTCAAATGTAAATATTTCCACATCATAAATATGCATTTGACGCTACACTCCCCACGCTCTAGCCACATGCAATTTATCAATCTTTAGACAGTGTTTTAGATTTAAGTGCAGATTTTCCTTATGTATATGTACGTATGGGCTTTATGAGGCTTCTCTTAAGCACGTAATGTTTGAAAAAAAAAAAAAAAAAAAAAATATATGCCCACTGAATATTCTTCTCCCAAGTCTAGCTCTCGAGCATAGTGACCCCAATAAATATGCAATGGTTTTATTAATGTCTACACATAAACTCAAGCCAACAGCTGTTGGGGATTATTTTCAAATAATTTATATACTTTTTTCAATCTTAAATGATTATCTCCCAGCGTAGGATCCATCAACTCTGTATCCTCTAGCTCCTGCTGCTTTCTGCTATTCATAGTCCGTTTAATGTGTGTTTAAGGCTTAGCAGACAGCGCTGTTGAGTAACTCGAACAAATTGAGTGCACACTTTTAGGCAGTTTTATTTTACCTAAGACCAAATAACTTGTAGCGTTTTTCATTTGAATTGTCCTTTTTATTTGAATTAAAAAAAGAGCAGGAGGCAGCAGAATGAAACACGTTTTTAGCGCAACTTTTTAGGGGGAAAATTACTTATGGGATTGAATGTGATAAAATAATGTTGCATATTTGTAGGCCCTGCTAATTTTTAAATGGCTTTGATGTTAAAGTGAAGCAAGATTTTAGAGACTTACTTTAGCTTATGAGTTCCTTGCCTAAATTTAGTTGCAAAAAAGTCAGTACACTTTTATTTGGCAACAAATATTGAAGTTATAAAGCTGTTGAAAGTGCTACAAAAATGGGACAATTTTTTTTATTATTGAGTTAATCTGGGAAAAGGCTGCATATCTTTAGGCGGCGATATTTTATTGATAGCAAACTACTAATGATTTATTTAATTGCTTGGTAATAAACGGATTAAAAATAATTAAAAATAAGATAAATTTATTTTCGGAAAAGTAAATAAAAATTGCGAAATAGAACTTGATTGATTCTAGGACTAGGTAGCCGATTTTAAAGTACCACCTTTGAGTATAAGATTGATATTAAGCTCCGACGTAGCACTCGTTTGAATTTTTGAAGTGAGAAGTAACCTCAATTTGAATAAATACAAAGAAAAAGAATTAAAAAAAACGTACAAAAAAAATTAAAAAATTATATTTATATATACATAAATATGGGATTTGCCAATGAGTTTATAAGGTTTGAATTTTTTATCCTTTATCAGCGTGCGCTAATACTAAGTATATTTATATTAAAAAGATAATAATAAATACTAAAAATGGTAGCCTATTTTAAGTGCTTTTCCAACACATTTTTTTAATTATCTTAAAATTGTTTTTGGCATAATTAAGGCTTCGATCAAATGTTTAAAGTAAAATATATAAATTTAATTATTTTTTTTTAATTTCACTTACACTCTTATTTATTGCCAATTGTGTGCGGATTTTTTTTTTAAGTATAGGTAATTTAATTTTTGGAAACCTAAGTATTAAATATTTTTGTTTGCCTACTTTTTGGCGAAATTCAAATGTAGAGCCAATGCTCTTGGAGAGTCAATAAAGTTTACTAATGTTTTTTACTTTTATATAGTATCTTAATAAAGAAGATCTACTTGAAAAATTTAAAAATTAGTTTTATAAAGTCAAAAATTTCCAATATATTTAAATTTTTAAACCTAGCTGTATAAATTTGAACATTTGAATTCATTGAAGAGTTTACGAATATGTGGAAGAACATTTTTTTATTACAAATATTTTAATTTTTTGTATCTTTTAATGTATTTATAGCTTTTTACTTTAAAAAGCATTTTCTTTTTTGCTTTCTGTTTTCCATATCACTTCCAAGTGTTTTTTTTTTTAAATCTTGGATATTTTAAGGCGCTAACAGCTATTTGAATATTATTTTTTTTCATTCGTCAATTCGCAATTCGCAATCGTCAAATTATTTACTTTCTCATTCAATTCAATTTCTACAATTACTCTAAGTCAGCGCATGATTAGCTACTTTTAGGCGCTTCATCACTTGACGGCATATAAAACACTAACTATCTTTGGGCAAAACACGTGCGCACGTACCGGTAAAGAGAAATAAAAAATACACACCAAAAACATTCCGCAAAAAAAAAAAACAATTAACTCATTTCACCGAGTGCTATTTGAAGTCTATTTTTAGGCACATTTGCTTAACGGCACAAAAAGGCAAGCCAGAAAGTGAGTGACCGAATAAAATAAATACGAAAAAAGTTTCAAAAATAAATGCTTGCATAGACGGCTAATAAATAAAATAAAAAGTGCAAATTTAAATAAAACAAATAAAGTTGAAATAGAAAAAAAAGTTCAAACAAATGTGCGAAAATTAAACGCCAACGCTGCGTAAGGCTTAACAAGTACGCCGATTTTCGGTCGTAAGCAAATACAACCATTTCTGCTTGATTAATTGCGTGGGCAAAGGTAGCCAACCCACAATTGTTTTTGTTTAAATATTTTGGGAAATCGCATTTTTTTCGTCTTTTTTGCCATATATTTTTTTTTTGCCCATACTTATTCTATCAATCCTTTTTTGGTAGCGCCTAATTTTTTATCTTTTTTTTCTGCTGCTCTTTTAATATTGTTGTTGGTGTTGTTCAAGTTAGCTACTCAAATCAATTTGGCGGTCTCGATTTTCGCCCGTTCAACCACCAACTCACCAACCCAGCCGCCAATCAATCGATCAAACCAACAACCAAACAATTCATTTCAATCCGTTGTTACGCTGCCTTTAACGGAACTGACGTATTTGTGAGTGAGTGCATTGATTGCCTGCATTTGGGCGCGCTACTGAAAAATTGATTGCAATTTAGTTAATTGAAATTTACATTGTGGCATTAAAATTAAATGTGCATAGTATTTTTTGAAGCATAGAGAGAGAATGTAATTTACTCCCTGAATACAGCGTTGATGACTGCAAAGGTAAGTAAAGTATTTGATTTATTTAATTAAAATAATCAAAATAAAATAAAATAAAATAAAATAAAATAAAATAAAATAAAATAAAATAAAATAAAATAAAATAAAATAAAATAAAATAAAATAAAATAAAATAAAATAAAATAAAATAAAATAAAATAAGATAAAATAAAATAAAAAAATAGAAAATAAAAGAAAGTATTGTAAAATGAAATAAAATAAAATAAATTAAGTTAAATAAAATAACATAAAAAATTAAAATAAAATAGGATAAAAAAAATGAAATGAAAAAAGAAACAAAATAAAATTAAATAAAACAAAACAGTATAAAATTAAAAAAAAAGATTATAAAAGACAAAATAAAATAAAAAAGTAAAATAAAGCAAAATAAAATAAAAATGCAAAAGCGTTGTTTCGAACTATTTGCGTTCGTCTGGCTTTTGTTATTTATTTAGCAAAAAAATCGCTAATATATTGGCTTGCACTACCAAAAATTTCTGAATAAATAAAACATATGTACACCAAAAATAGAGGATTGTCAGAATTAAAAGATAAAATTTTTTCATAGAAGCTGTTTGGTCTCGCATTTTATTTTTAAAATCGCTTTTTTCTTTTTTGTTGTTATTTATTTACATAGAAATTCACTCAATGGGAAAATTAAATCTTCTTAACTTTTTTCACGACTTTATTGAGTGCAAATTGCACTTTAGGTTGTTTTAAGTGCGTGTTTGTGTAAATAACTTAACTGATTTTAAGAACAAATTATTCTCTGTTAAATTGGTTATGCCTCTAATATGAATAAATTAAAGGTGGTCAAATTAAAAATAATCTTTGGTTAATGAAAATATGCATAAATTTTGTTTAGAAAATATTTTTTTGGGCGAAATATATGATTTTATATGATAATGGAGGCCTTTTATTGTAAAAAAATGTTGTGTGAAGAAACAAAATTCTTTTTAGCTTGACATATTTTGTGTTAAAATAGTTTTAAATTAAAAAAAAATTATGAAATTTAAAAAAATTTACTCTTTTAATCCTAGTGTCCATAAAATAACTTTGAATAGCTGTCACAGTAAATCTGATTTCGTTAACGCATTTACTTTTCAAAGATCTTTTATATAGAAAAAATATTTAAACAGTATAAATATCCTGATGCTTCATAAATTAAATTCATGACTGCGCATTTTATGCCCTAGAACAAAATACTAAAGTCATATTAATATTATAACCAAATGAATTGCAAAAAAGCGTAAATAATTTAATTTAGGATCAGTCAGAAAAAAATGCTGCTTAATGCAATAGATAATAAAACGTGCGCCCATTGGCGCCTAGCTAAGGCAAAGTAAGCAAAAACTGATGCAAAACCTCAAGCAAATACGCGTTGATTTCTTTTGGATAGGAAACCCAAATCGAGGAAATATTATCAAGTAATACCCTGCTGCCTGTCAGCAAAAAATTTAATGTGTCCTTTGAGTTGACATTGATGACACTTAAGTGTCATATTTATTTCGTCTTTTATTTCATATTTATTAATATTTATGAAGTGGCACTTGCTGCTCCAAATAATAGATGAAATGAGAGATATATCTGCTTACATTGTTTTTTCATTTAATGTGAAATGATGAGTTTGATAGAAAAAAGTTAAGCGTGTTTGAAATTGAATTGAATTAATTTAAATTAATTTAATGAATGATATTAACAGTAATTGACTAACAAATATACTAAGAGAGGAATGAATCGAGCCAAAAATAAATACGAATTCATATACACATTTATTAGGGTGATTTATTTATTTAATTACTAAAAAATAGCTTATGACGAAAAAAAATTACTAAATTTTCCTGAAAATGGTGGTTTTCCAATTTTTTTTTTGGTATTATTTTATGTAAAAATATGCTAACTTTTGGCTATAAACTCAATTTGTTATTTTGTCATAAATAAACATTTAATATGAGAAGCATACTTTCGCTATGAACGACCACCCTAATATCGATGTTCTGCAAAATATATTTGAAATTCAACGAAACACATTTCCGTCTACATTTTAAATATCAGAAGAAGAACTGAGAAACAAGACTTTCTTTCACTCTTATACGCCTGCCACTGGCAGTCTATTTTCTAAGCACAAAACGCCCAGAAATATGCCACAAAATTGTGGTCAAACATTTCAATTTTCCGAGAAAATTATATATATCTACATTTATTTAATGCTTTTTTACGCATTTAATTATGGAAGAAAAGTAGACATGTTTATATTATCTATCTGTGGTTATAAATCTACAAACATATGCTTGTTTGTATTTGTTAACGCCAAAAATGTCAGTTATTATTACACCAAACGGATGCTAATGTCAAATTAAATTTAGCAGCAAAAATTTATGACCCAAACAAATAGAGACAAACGAACGAGGCGTATAAATATTTGTTTAAGCACAACAAGAAAAAATGTAGAAAGGAAAAAAAATATATATATAAGTAAAAATAAATAAAAAAATAAAAACATATATTTAAATACGTCATTAAAGCTGTGCGGTTGCCATTAGAGTGGCATACAGCAAACACTGGCGTGTTTGATAAATTAATGCGCATACATATGTACTCCCGTGCGTCCTTTCTGCTGTTTTTATGTTGTTTTTGTCTACTTTTGTAAATGATTATCTCTATTTTCTTTTGACTTACAACTAAATTTGCCGCCAATATTCTTGTGTGATAAGGGATAGCTAAAATTTTTTGACATTTAATATGAATGAGTTCAGGTTACGTATACGCCATGCAGACTAATTGAGATAAAATGTGTAAATAATTATGAGGGGTAGTAGTAAATAACATGTTAGGAGCAGACATATGAGTAATAGTAATATGAGGAGAAATAAATCTAGTATTTAATTTTGTACTGCAAACGGGAATTTGATAAATTTTTCGTATAAAATATTTTGGAATTTTATGTTATATTATTTAATTATATATATTACTACAATGTGATTAAATTTATATTTCTTCGTCATAGTTAGGAATTGTCAGCAAAGTCACATCTTTCAAAATAAATTTGCGTTTAAAAATGCACAAAATTTTAAAAGCAAAATTAGTAATATTGCGTATACGCACTGTAGTACGAACAATTTTGCATGTTATTTATTATTACTTAAAAATAGAGATTCAAAAAGAAATATGTTTTTCCGTTTTTCTAAATTAAAATTTTGATTTGAAAACAAAAAATCGTACTTTAAAATGAAGAAAATAAAATATAAATAAAAAATAATATAAATAATTATATGAAAAATATAATAGTGAAAGAACGAGTATATATTTGCTGCTTTGAAGTTTAAAGAGTTTAATAATTTTTTCTTCATCTTTTTAGAGTGTAAGAAGCTTCGAAATAGCCAAAAATCAAGGTATTTTTTGGTGAATTCTTAAATTTTTATTTATAAAAAAAATTAGTTTTTTTAAGTATTTTTTTTAATTAAAAATTATTATTTAATATTTATTAAAAACTTAAAAATTAAAAAAAAACATTTCTTTCTAACTTTTTTTTGAATATTAAATATGTAAGAAATTAATAATGAAGTGTCATTGGTTATTTTGTACCATCAATACCTGAGGTAGGTAGGTGGGTTGAGTGGATGGCTTCTGACGCATATAGGCTTCTATAAGGCTCATTGTGTTAGCGCTGGGCCTAAAACTTCCTCACACAACTATGAACTCTCTGAACTACGCCGTGGTAATCAAGTTAAATAACTGTAAATGTGCAACTTGAGAACCGTCAAGGAACCGAGGCCTGGCGTTGTTGTTCTACCGGCAACTACTGCAGTAGTCATCATTTTGTGCCCCACGCACTCTGACGGCGTGTCTAACAATAAGTCAGTTTCCTATTTCCGCTACCCTTAAAGTGATTACGTCATTTTCTTTAAATTTCGAAAATCGCGTCATAAATACAATCCTAGCTGTAGCTATCTACTGTAACATTTTTAACTTACAATTTTAAATTTTTTAATTTACACGTTACTGATTTTTTATTGTCAAATATTTTCATTTTTCTGAATCATGAGCTGATGCTAAATAAGTTTTATTAAAAATAAAATGTTAAAGTTTTTATTTTAATATATAGAATCTAATTTTTCTATACTGTTTGTTTGCATTTATAGCAAATCAATTATTGTTTTCAGAGCTATTCAGATATTTCTTCGATGTGTTCATAATTCGCTGCCGGCTACACTTCTAGACCCCACAACTTTTTGTTCATTGTTCATATTCAGTGTACAGGTGACGTACAGGCACGCCACCCTGCAGAAGAGTACTCCTCTAAAGAGACCTCCGCATCGTTGAAGCTAAGAGTGTCGAACCAATGAACCTGCCCAAGAGCAACTGTGCAATTGATTTCACAATCAGTTCTGAGCTGTCCAGTTCTGTTACTGCGTACGCAAACACATTTTATAAAATCGAAAAAAAAAAAAAAAATCTTTTATTCTCCATTTTTTGTAGTTTGAAAATCCAGTTTCAAATATGTTGCGGCTAAAACTGTGCTACATGAGCATGCAAGGTTTCTCATTTAAATTGCATGACAAGTGAAGAGAGCCAACCATTGCATACATAAGCGAACATTTCGTTTCTGTGTAGCAAAAAAGGTAACATTGAGCTGTTGGTTGAAGACATGAAATATTGAAATTTTTGAAATTTATAGTACAAAAAAATTAAAAATAAAATGAAAATTTGAAAACATTTTTAGCGACAGGAACAGGTAAATGCGAAAATTGCGAAAATATCTTTTAAGTGTATAACTATGGAAATAGTGGTCGCTTATTGCTTTGAAGGTTGGAAATTTTATATTAGGGTTTTTCAATTTTTTCAAATGCATTGTGGAAAATTATTAAAAATTACAATATTTTTTAAGGTTTTTTTACTTTACATTGGATTTATTGTCTTGAAAATTGCACAGCACTTGAATTGGAACAGGAATAATTTAACAAAATTGCCATAAAATTGGGAAAATTCTAAAAATATTTTTT